CCCCAAAACCCCAAAACCCCAAAACCCCAAAACCCCTAGTAAGATTAAATTCGTCGAATCACAATAAATATACATTTAAATATGAGCAGAAAAGATAAAAAAGGAGAGTATAACGGAAGAAAGGTTAGTGAGCTCTATGAAGAGCTATTCGAAGGAGATGACGGAGTCATCAGTAAGCTTCCTACCATCCTCAAGGACGGTTTGTTCCAAAGAACTGATGATACCTCTTCTATTGACGATATGAAAGTTGTCAAGGGATATGATTTCAATCAAGGAGTTGATTATGAAAAACTTCTGAAAACTTACATTCATTCTGGCTGTCAAGCAACCTATGTTGGGGAAGCTATCGAGATCATCAACCAGATCATCGACTGGAGACTCTCTGATGAGGATATTAAGAAGGAAAAAGACGAGAGATACATGGATCCAGAAGTCAGAGCAGATACACGTTGCACAATCTTCCTTGGATATTCCTCCTCCATGATTTCTTCTGGAATGAGAGAAATTATTAGATTCTTGGTTCAACATAAGATGGTTGATGCTGTTGTAGCCACAGCAGGAGGTATCGAAGAAGACATCTGTAAGGTGTTCTCTGACTTCCGTCAAGGAGATTTTGGATATGATGGAGTTGACTTGAGATCAAAAAGTATCAACAGAGTAGGAAATATCTTCATCTCAAACTCATGCTACGATGGTTTCGAGTACCTCTTCTACAGTGTTATTAAAGAGATGATGGATGAACAAGAGAAGGAAGGTACTATCTTCTCACCAAGCCAAATTATCAACAGACTTGGTAAGCATGTCAATCACGAGGAGAGCGTTTATTATTGGTGCTGGAAGAACGACATCCCAGTCTTTGCCCCAGCCTTCACAGACGGAGCTATTGGGGATATTTTGTACTGTGCACAATTTGAAAGACCTGGGTTTGTTGTAGACATGAACAGAGATCTCTACAAGATCAACAGCATGGCTGTCAATGCTAAAAAGAGTGGAATGCTCACATTTGGTGCTGGTGTATCTAAACATCATATCTTGAATGCAAACTCGATGAGAAATGGAGCTGACTATGCTGTGTATATCAACAACGCGGCTGAGCACGATAGTTCTGATTCAGGAGCTCTTCCAAGTGAAGCTGTCACATGGGGAAAGCTTGCTTTCGATTCAGTCTCAACAAAAGTCCACGGTGATGCTACTCTCGTGCTTCCTCTTATTGTTGGAGAAACATTTGCTAAGAGAATCGACAAAGTATCTAGATTGCCACAATACAGAAACAAGAAAGCCCTACAAGTTGAGCAACAAGTTTTAGCAGAGAGCAACATTAGAAGAACATTCAAGGCCACTAAGATTGCAAGAGCCGCTCGTCGTCTTTGCAGATTATTCTAAATTAACAATGTTGATTGTGGGATTCATGTTGTACTCCATCTTGGCGAATTTCAACTAATTTAAAATAAGAGGGGTTTTGGGGTTTTGGGGTTTTGGGGTTTTGGGG